TACACACAAAATTTGGCTATAAAATGACTCCTTCATACCAAATTTCTATATGACATTTCTTAATCTAAAATTACAAACGTACCACCTCTCTTATTATCTTCTTTAATTTGTGATTTAATCATGTCAAGCGGAAGGAAAAGTCAAGGTCGTCAAAAGATCGAAATGAAAAAGATGAGCAACGACAGTAAATTGCAAGTGACTTTTTCAAGACAACGTAGCAGACTCTTCAAGAAATCCAATGAACTTTAAACCCTATGTGATGCCCAAATTGCTCTTGTTGTATTCTCACCCAGTGAAAAGGTATTTTCTTTTGGTCACACCCAATATTGATACAATGATAGATCGTTATCTCTCTCGAGTTCCTCCCTAAAACAACAACATCATTGAATTCATTGAGGCTCGTCGTAAAGCTAATGTGTGTGAGATTAATACTCAGTTGACTCAAATCAGTAACACACTAGAAATTAAAAAGAAACTTGGTGATGAACTGAGCCATTTGCTAAAGAGTTTGAGGCTCAATTTTGGTGGACTTGTTTAATTGATAAGATGAATTGGGTTTAAATTGAAATGTTCAAGAAGGATTTGGAGTAGCTTAGGAACCATGTTGCACAACATGCTATTGACCTTGTAATTCAGGATACTCATACTCAAACTCTCTGTTTTGTTTTGAAAGTGTTTCATCATCTAACATCCCTTTCCAACACCAATTAATTCTTCAACAAGGTCAAATGTTTCCACCACAATTTTATCAGAAACATTTGTTGCATCCTTAATTGTTTCATGGATCAGTGAAATCTCATAGTGGCTTCAATAAAATGGCATAAAAAACATTTTACATTGTTGGTCCTTTTCTATGCTTGTTTTTGTCTAAATTTTATTTTTGTTGATTGCATACTATGTATGCTTAATGATAATTTTGTTATCTTCTTTAATTAAGAATTATTAAATACTATAACAAATTATTATGTTTTGTTTTTCTCATGTCGATTTATACATATCCGACTGTACATGTATGTATCTCTTTTATAACAATGTATAATTTATTTTTCTTTTATAGATGAGTAAGTGTTTAATGTTGGGATAAATGCAAATTCTGCATAGTCTTAGAGATATCGTGGCAACTTAATTTTATTGGGTTTCACTAATAAGGAGTACTTCCAACTGATTTCATATTTCAATTGTGAAGCTTAATTTCTGCTTGGGATTGTATATATGGCATAGGATCATATGCATTCTCTATAATGAGTGCTAAGGCAATGTGACACACCGAATTTTTCTTCATTCTTTGTACACGTATTTGGAGCATTAGTAATCGTTCGATCAAGATCGAACAATTCAGATTTGATTTTTTAAGTTTAAAATTATAATCTTAAAGTTGAAATCAGTCAATTTTTAGACCATTAGTCTTTGATCGAACATCCATTAATACTTCAAAGTTGTGAATTGGCCGCATTAGATAATTTGGAACTTAAAATTGATACACGCTTAAGTGTAAAGTCTAAAGGTTAAAATTTCTAAAATTTTAGAACATATTCGACAATCACAAGGTATTGGAAAATAGATATATAAAATTTATTTATTGTGAACTTTAAATTGACACTTTATAGAAAGGAAAAACAATTTAGAAATAAAAAGTTAAAAAATTACGCTAACTAGAGATAACCAATTGTCTAATTATAAAAGGTAATAAATCACTTGACCTAGTGGAGTAGATGCAATGATTTCACTATATTAAAATCAAAACAATATTAAGGTTCGAAACTCAATATAATTAGAGATGAAAGTTGGACTCATCCCTAGTGGTTACGGCAAAAATTATCCACAATGGGTGGAGTAAATTAATCATTTTTAGAAAAATCTTAGAATAATATTTTCAAACCTATTTATATATATATATATATATATATATATATATATATATATATATATATATATATATATATATATATATATATATATATATATATATATATATATATATATATATATATATATATATATATATATATATATATATATAATATATATATATATATATATATATATATATATATATATATATATATATATAATATAATATATATATATATATATTAGTTTTTAAAAAAATGTTAGAAAAATAAAGCAAATTTTGTGGCGGATAATTTAATCATGTACGAAATATTAAATTCATCTAATGTATTTGAAATTCTTGAGATTTTTAAAATAAATACATTAATAATATGATTGAATTATCAAATTCATGGAAATATTTAAACACAATTTATCAATCGTTCTAAATAAAATATAATATATACAAATTGGAAAAAGAGCGTAATTTTTCATCCAATAATTTTTTAGTCATATAAACTATATAAAAAATATTTTATGAGAGTTCTTAATGTAGTTAATATTAAATATTACGAAAAGGTACGACATTTGAAATATATTTCCGCGATTTGGTTTTCTAAGCAAAATCACAATACAAGAAAGAAAATACATACACACAAAATTTGGCTATAAAATGACTCCTTCATACCCAATTTCTATATGACATTTCTTAATCTAAAATTACAAACATACCACCTCTCTTTTTATCTTATTTAATTTGTGCTTTAATCATGTCAAGCGGAAGGAAAAGTCAAGGTCGTCAAAAGATCGAAATGAAAAAGATGAGCAATGAGAGTAACCTGCAAGTGACTTTTTCAAGACGACGTAGCGGACTCTTCGAGAAAGCTAGTGAACTTTCAACTCTATGTGATGCACAAATTGCTCTTGTTGTATTCTCACCTAGTGAAAAGGTATTTTCTTTTGGACACCCCAATATTGACACAGCCATAGATCGTTATCTCTCTCGAGTTCCACCCCAAAACAACGACATCATGGAATTCATTGAGGCTTGTCGTAAAGCTAATGTGTGTGAGATCAATACTCAGTTGACTTAAATCAATAACACACTAGACATTGAAAAGAAACATGGTGATGAACTAAGCCATTTGTGCAAAAAGTTTGAGGCTCGGTTTTGGTGGACCTGTTCAATTGATAAGATGAATTTTGGTTCAACTAGAAATGTTTAAGAAGTATTTGAAGGAATTTAAGAACCTTGTTGCACAACATTCTATTAACCTTGTAATTCAGGATACTCAAACTCAAACTCTTCCATTTTGTGTTGAAAGTGTTTCACCATCTAACATACCTTTCCAACACCAATTAATTCCTCAACAAGGTCAAATGTTTCCACCACAATTTTATCAGAAACATTTTTGCATCCTTAATTTTTTCATGGATCAGTGAAATCTCACAGTGGCTTCAATAAAATGGCATAAAAAACCATTTTATATTGTTGGTCCTTTTCTATGCTTGTTTTTGTCTAAATTTTATTTTTGTTGAATGCATACTTTGTATGCTTAATGATAATTTTGTTATCTTCTTTAATTAAGAATTATTAAATACTATAACATATTATTATGTTTTGTTTTTCTCAAGTCAATTTATACATATCCGACTGTACATGTATGTATCTCTTTTATAACAATGTATAATTTATTTTTCATTTATAGATGAGTAACTGTTTAATGTTGGGATAAATTCCAATTGTGCATAGTCTTAGAGATATCACGGCAACTTAATTTTATTGGGTTTCACTGATAAGGAGTACTTACAACTGATTTCATATTTCAATTATGAAGCTTAATTTCTGCTTGGGATTGTATATATGGCATATGATTATCTGCATGCTCTATAATGAGTGCTAAGGCAATGTGACACACCAGATTTTTCTACAATATTTGTATACGTATTTGGAGTATTAGTGATCGTTCGATCAAGATCGAACAATTCAGATTTGATTTTTTTAATTTAAAATTATAAATTTAAAGTTGAAATCAGTCAATTTTTAGACCATTAGTCTTTGATCGAACGTCCATTCATACTTCAAATGTGTGAATTGACGTCATTAGAGAAATTGGCACTTAAAATTGATACACGCTTAAGTGTAAAGTCTAAAGGTTAAAATTTCTAAAAATTTAGAACATATTCGACAATCAAAAGGTATTGGGAAGTAGATATATAAAATTTCTTTATTTTGAACTTTAAATTGACATTTTGTAGAAAGGAAAAACAATTTAGAAATAAAAAGTTAAAAAATTACGCTAACTAGAGATGACCAATTGTCTAATTATAAAAGGTAAAACATCACTTGATCTAGTGGAGTTGATGCAATGATTTCACTATATTAAAATCAAAACAATAATAAGGTTCGAAACTCAATATAATTAGAGATGAAATTGGACTCATCCTTAGTGCTTACCGCAGAAATTATCCATAATGGGTGGAGTACAAACCTGCAAAATATGTTAATTAATCATTTAAAAAAAATCTTAGAATACTATTTTTCAATCCTATTATATATATATATATATATATATATATATATATATATATATATATATATATATATATATATATATATATATATATATATATATATATATATATATATATATATATATATATTAGTTTTTAAAAATATGTTAGAAAAATAAAACAAATTTTGTGGCGGATAATTTAATCATGTATGAAATATTAAACTCATCTCATGTAATTGAATTTCTTGAGATTTTTAAAATAAATACATTTATAATATGATTGAATTATCAAATTCATGGAAATATTTAAATACAACTTATCAATCATTCTAAATAAAATATAATATATACAAATTGGCAAAAGAGCGTCATTTTTCATTCACTAATTTTTTAGTCATATAAACTATATAAAAGAGATTTTTTGATAATTCTTAATGTAGTAAATATTAAATGTTACGAAAATGTACGGTGTTTGAAATATATTGCCGTGATTTGGTTTTCTAAGCCAAATCACAATACAATTAAGAAAATACATACACACAAAATTTGGCTATAAAATGACTCCTTCATACCCAATTCATATATGCCATTTCTTAATCTAAGATTACAAACATACCACCTCTCTTTTTATCTTCTTTAATTTGTGCTTTAATCATGTCAAGCGGAAGGAAAAGTCAAGGTAGTCAAAAGATCGAAATGAAAAAGATGAGCAACGAGAGTAACCTGCAAGTGACTTTTTCAAGACGACGTAGCAGACTCTTCAAGAAAGCCAGTGAACTTTCAACCCTATGTGATGCACAAATTGCTCTTGTTGTATTCTCACCTAGTGAAAAGGTATTTTCTTTTGGACACCCCAATATAGACACAGTCATAGATCATTATCTCTCTCGAGTTCCACCCCAAAACAACGACATCATGGAATTCATTGAGGCTTGTCGTAAAGCTAATGTGTGTGAGATCAATACTCAGTTGACTTAAATCAATAACACACTAGACATTGAAAAGAAACTTGGTGATGAACTAAGCCATTTGCGCAAAGAGTTTGAGGCTCAATTTTGGTGGACTTGTTCAATTGATAAGATGAATCGGGCTCAACTTGAAATGTTCAAGAAAGATTTGGAGGAGTTTGGAACCTTGTTGCACAACATGATATTATCCTTGTAATTCAGGATACTCATACCTAAACTCTTCCATTCTGTGTTGAAAGTGTTTCCAGCACAATTTTATCAGAAACATTTTTTGCATCCTTAATTGTTTCATGGATCAGTGAAATCTCACAGTGCCTTCAATAAAATGGCATAAAAAACCATTTTACACTGTTGGTCCTTTTCTATGCTTGTTTTTGTCTAAATTTTATTTTGGTTGATTGCATACTTTGTATGCTTAATGGTAATTTTGTTATCTTCTTTAATTAAGAATTATTAAATACTATAACATATTATTATGTTTTGTTTTTCTCAAGTCGATTTATACATATCCGACTGTACATGTATGTATCTCTTTTATAACAATGTATAATTTATCGGGTTTCAGTAATAAGGAGTACTTCCAACTGATTTCATATTTCAATTGTGAAGCTTAATTTCTGCTTGGGATTATATATATGGCATAGGATTATATGCAAGCTCTATAATGAGTGCTAAGGCAATGTGACACACCAGATTTTTCTACAATATTTGTACATGTATTTGGAGTATTAGTGATCGTTCGATCAAGATCGAACAATTCATATTTAATTTTTTAAATTTAAAATTATAACTTTAAAGTTGAGATCAGTCAATTTTTAGACCATTAGTCTTTGATCTAACATCCATTAATACTTCAAATGTGTGAATTGACGAAATTAGAGAAATTGGCACCTAAAATTGATACACGCATAAGTGTAAAGTCTAAAGGTTAAAATTTCTAAAAATTTAGAACATATTCGACAATCACAAGGTATTGGGAAATAGATATATAAAATTTCTTTATTGTGAACTTTAAATTGACACTTTGTAGAAAGGAAAATCAATTTAGAAATAAAAAGTTAAAAAATTACGCTAACTAGAGATGACCAATTGTCTAATTATAAAAGGTAAAACATCACTTGATCTAGTGGAGTAGATGCAATGATTTCACTATATTAAAATGAAAACAATATTAAGGTTCGAAACTCAATATAATTAGAGATGAAATTGGACTCATCCCTTAGTGCTTACCGCAAAAATTATCCACAGTGGGTGGAGTACAATCCTGCAAAATGTGTTAATTAATCATTTTTAAAAAAAAAAATCTTAGAATACTATTTTTCAAACCTATTATTTATTTTTATATATATATATATATATATATATATATATATATATATATATATATATATATATATATATATATATATATATATATATATATATATATATATATATATATATATATATATATATATATATATATATATATATATATATATATATATATATATATATATATTAGTTTTTAAAATATGTTAGAAAAACTAAAACAAATTTTGTGGCGGATAATTTAATCATGTACGAAATATTAAATTCATCTAATGTATTTGAATTTCTTGAGATTTTTAAAATAAATACATTAATAATATGATTGAATTATCAAATTCATGGAAATATTTTAAGACAACTTATCAATCGTTCTAAATAAAATAAAATATATACAAATTGGCAAAAGAGCGTCATTTTTCATTCACTAATTTTTTAGTCATGTTAACTATATAAAAGAGATTTTATGAGAATTCTTAATGTAGTAAATATTAAATGTTACGAAAAGGTACGACGTTTGAAATATATTGCCGCGATTTGGGTTTCTAAGCCAAATCACAATATAAGAAAGAAAATACATACACACAAAATTTGGCTATAAAATGACTCCTTCATACCCAATTTATATATGCCATTTCTTAATCTAAAATTACAAACATACCACCTCTCTTTTTATCTTCTTTAATTTGTGTTTTAATCATGTCAAGCGGAAGGAAAAGTCAAGGTCGTCTGTTGTACCCCAAAATTTTCCCTCTCATTTATCAAGTTTTTTTACTCACAAGACTTCTTTGACTCAAGACAAGATCAGGGTTTGCTCAGCTCAGGACATGTCATCTTGCACTGATAACCTAAAATTAGGGTTTGAGTTTGCACAAGGATTTTTGGACCATCAATGCTTCATGTGACTTTCATACATCATTTTGGACCCCAAAGGTTGCTCATGACAAGTTTCATGCCTTGGACTATATTTTTGATCAGTCAATTGGACAGTTGACCTAAAAATCAGCTGTATTGGTAAAAAAGTCAACCATGGCCAATTTACAGTCAAACTTCATAATTTTTGATTCACAACAACATTTTTGATTCACATGTATCACTTGGTCATGTTTGGATCACAATTCCTCAAGAAATTTGATCAAATAATCAAAAGGGTAAAATGGTCAAAATTAGGGTTTTTGACTGAGAAAGGGCAATTTCTGATTTTTAACTAGCAAATGACCAATTAAGTTCAAGCATGATTTCAAGGATTCAATGGCATCATCTTGACTTAATTACATGGCTCAAAACATTTCAATTTCATTGGATTGACAGATGAAATTTGTAGTCAACTGATCAAAAGTCAATTGTACACTGAAAAGTCAAACTTTGACTTTTTGGTCAAAATCAAGTACCAAGGGTCATAATTCATCAAAACATTACCAAATGTGAAACTTTTTCACCAAGAAAACCAAATTTGAAAATTAGGGTGTTAATTTTAAAAATTTCATCACTTAGAAATTTTCTAAGTATAAAAATTTTCTTATTTTTTCTCAACTTTACACCACTTTTTCACCATGATGCATTTTTATTAAAAGAAAATTACCAAAATGAAAGTTGTAGACCTCCATGAAATATACAACTTTGCCTCACAAACTTTTCTCTAAAGATGCTTGGATCTCAAGATATAAATTTGTGAATACATGGTCATGAACTTCTTAACTTAGTGAAATTTTGCCCTAATTTAGGTAGGTTTTGGACCCAACTTCATGGCAAATTTTCATTTAGTTCCAAGAGGTATCTCAAAATTCATTTCAAAGATGGATTATAGAGCATATTTCATGCTTTCCAAAATGTCCAATAACTCTCCAAGATCATTTTTCAGTAGGGAGAATCGAAGAGAGGAAATTGGCATTTTGTCACTTTTTGTTCAAGCAATTTCATGAAGAACCAAGTTGCAAATCAAACCTATGCTGGCTATTTCATGCTGTACAGGTCCTAAAATTGCTACAAACTCCTTAATTAAATGCTTACTCAGTTGACAAATCCTCTATCCATGCTTTTGAACTTTTACACAACTTGTAATTCCATTTTTGGCCAAAAGGTTCCATTGCCATTTTCATAAAGGGCAACTTTTGCAAACTTTGTAATCTTGAGCATTGGACTTGTCCCCTTGATACATACAAGTACCACAGACCAAAGGCAACTTGTAGGGAAGAAATACCAACCCTAAGAAAGCTGGTACAAGCATGAGAGTTTTGTCTTGTCACTTTACTTCAAGTACAAGAAAAGTTGCAAAAAGGCTAGGGCTTGTACAACTGATAGAGAGATGACTTAAAACCATTTCTATACTAATATGAAAAGGATATATAACACATAGAGCACCAAGAAAAGGCCAGAAACACGTAGAGCAAGAAAAGCACCAAAAACTGTCCAAAACACACAGTTTCTACACAAACATATCCAGCATCCATTTGGCTCGTGCGTTTTGTGTTTAGATCATCCAAACATCTTACATACTTGATACCTAGTCAATCCAAACAATCATCCCTGTTCTGTAACCTCTGTTTCACCATTTTCCATTGTTAACTTTGAAGCTTGCAGTTGGACTTGGTCAGGGAGTTCTAGCCACTTTCAGAGCAAGGTAGGGGTTGGAATAGATTCAGGGAAGCTCAAGGAAGCTCAAGCAATCATCAGGCCTCCATCAAAGTCCCTGCATTTCCATACACGACTCCAGCTGAAGGAGCATGAGGAAGTTATAGGTTGAACCGGCCATAGCGTGAGGAAGGAGAAGGTAGGACAGGGACGAAGTTGCATTGGGCTTTTTGGCTTCCTGGGCTTTTTGTTTTTGCTAGCACTACCACTGATTTGCTATCTCACCCCCTGTTAACTCTTTCATATTTTATTTTTTTCATTTTTATATTTAATACTTAAAATTATTTTCTTTGATGATAAAAAAACCTAAAAAATAACTTAATTATTTTTACACTTTTATTTTATTTTATTTATTATTTCTCACATGAAAAATATAGTTTATTTTGATAAAATATAATTTATTTTGATAAAATATAATTTATTTTCTTAATAAACTTATAAATATAATTAAATAAACTTAATATTTTTATTTTACATTTCATACTTACAAATACCTTATTTTTTGCATATATTTAATTTTTAATATTTATATACAATATTATTTATTATTTCATACAAGAAAATGTACAAAAATAATAATATAGAAACTTTATTTTCTCATAAATAAAATTAGGGTTAAACCCCTTTCAAAAAATTAAATCTTTTTCTTTATATTTTTAGGTTTAAATTAAATATTCTTTTACATAAAAATAAAACATCAAAAATATCTTTACATGTACATTACATTGCATTACATTTTAAATATCGTATTATATTTATTTTAATTCGCGCAAATTCGATTTGGTTGTAATAATGTATTTAGTTTTATATTTGTGCAAATCCCCATTCAAACTTGTATTCCCCCCTCCCATAAAATTGTTGTAATAGCTTAGTATATTTACATTACGCAATTTATTGCTTTCATATGCCATGATTAGTAATTAGGGTTTGTATGACAAGAACGAAACAAAACAAATAGAAAACCCTAAATGCAAGATCAAAAGCATGAAAATGATATACTTTGCACACAAGCACCCTTAGGGTTTCTCCCACTTGGTTGCCTAAAGCAAAATATCCATATTACGCATGCGA